TGTTCACACGGTATTCCATTTAACTCCCACTTCCTACAGCTACATATTTTAAAGTTCAGGTCAACTTTTTATTGAGCTCCATGCATGGTACTTATTTCATAATTGTCATCATTAGATTTATACCTAATACAAGAACTTGCTTCATGCATATTCTTTTCAAGAATTTTCATAATCTTAGGACAGAGCTTTGCATTCTATTTCATTTCCTTATCTTTGTTCTCCAACATTCTTTACATAGCCAAAGCTTTAGCACTTTTAAACAGTGTCACAATAGGCAACTCTCTAGCATTAAGAATGAGTGAATTGAAACATTTACATACATTATTCAACAAAGTGTCACATTTGGGTATAAAGTTAAAATGTGATCTTGACCAATCAATTAGAGGCTTCTCACTTAACTATCTAAGTGCTGCGACATCTAATTTCTTTAACTCATTCATTCTGAATGAGAACTGATTCAAGTTGTTACCCTTGTTGATGCTCATAATACATTCTTCAACGTCATTCTAGTGAATCTTGTCAACTTGAAGTTTTGATGCAAATTTCTAACATAAAACCTGTTTGTGACATTAGGTAGAACATTCTCAAAAACATGAATTAAAACCTTTCTTCTTATCCAAAATGAAAGTAAAGTTAGGATGATTCTCCAAGATCTGTAGATCTTTGCCTAACAAGCTCAGAAACTACTTCCAACTTCTTTTGCTTTCGGCTTCAACTACTGCCCATGCAATCGGAAATATGCTATTGTTGTCATCAAGTACCACTACTGTCAGAAGTTGCCCTCCTTGTTGTTCCTTCAAAAAATAACCATCAAGCCCAACTGGTCTACAATTTGAAATGAAGCCTATCTTGCATGCCTCAAAACAAATATAAAATCTCATAAATTTTTCTCTCATGCAAATCTAGGTACTTAGTTGTAAGGACTAAAATAGTTGATTCTGGATTGCTGCCTACAATCTCAAGATAATAGTCCCAAATTTTTTTGAACTAATCTTCCTCCTTCGTATAGATCAACTTAAGAGCCTCCTTTTTTTAAATACATTGCATTTTATTTGGAGATTGACTTTGATTTTGTTCATATACCTCTTCACAATGATTGTAGAGTTTAAAGTTTTACTGTGATAATTTCATGCACTCGTATGTTCTTGTAAAGATCTAATCTTCCATGAATCGCTGTCTTCATGTTTTGAGAAGTAGATATCAAAAGGGCAATTTGGCTTTCTGCAAATAACCTTACATCTTTTATTATTCTTTACAAATTTTATTTGTTTTCTCGTCAAAATTGACCAATTCTTTACTGCCTTACCACTAACAAGCATACGAATTTCAAAAGAGTGATTTGATGAATCTGCCTTAGGAATGAAGGTCGACTAATTTCAAATCTCATCTTCCTCACTGGCATATATGCTAGCATTATCACTTGAGTTTACGTAATCGATATCAGAGTCTTTCCCCTTTAAAATTTTAGTAGGATATTCTTTAATAAATTCAATAGTTTCTTTCCCTTTAACCTGATATCCTGCATACTAAATCCAATTATCTACTTTATTTTCAGATAAATCCGCACTTCCTTTGATCTCATAATCACTATCATTAAAATTTTTCCATGCATCTGAATTAACAAAGGTATAGTCTACAATCTATATCATTATCTTCATCGTAATTACTCTTTTCACTCTTTTTTGACTGTGATCTATAGGACTGTGTTTATGTCAGCCATCTCAGTTAAGCCACCGTCTTTCGATTACGATCCCTCAGATCATTATCGTCCAACCACAGTCCTTTAGATCACAGTCTTCGGACTACCGTCGCCCGACTACAGTCCCTCCGACCATAGTCATCCTTGATCATGTTCTCTTTGACATCCGTCACTCGACTACGGTCCTCGGACCACCTTCAATTGACTATGGTCTCTCTGACGACATTCGCTCGACTGTGGTCCCTCTGACCATTATCACCCAACTACAGTCCTTTGACTACTGTCACCTAACTTCAATCCCCCAACCTTTATCGCTTGACTACGGTCCCTTCAGCCATTGTTGCCCTCCTACCATGATTCCTCTGACCACTGTTGCATGACTAAGGTCCCTCCGACTCCCGTCACCCAACTATAATACCTCCGACCTTCGTCGCCTGATTACGGTCCATTCGACCTCCATTGTTTGTCGATTACGATCCCTCCAATCTTTGTTGCCCATTGACTATAGTCCTTGTACCACCGTTGCCCAACTACGGTCCCTCAGATCATTGTGCCTAGTCCTTTCGACTATTGTCGCCCATATATGGTCTCTTTGATCACAATCACCCTCCGATCACCATCACACGACAACGATCCCTCTAACCTCTGTCGCCTGCCAACCATGATCCTTCTGACCTTCGTCGCCCGCTGACTACAATGCCTCAAACCTCCGTCACCCAACTATAGTCCTCGTACCATAGTCACTTGACTACGGTCCTTCCGATCTTAATCACTTATCGACTACAGTTCCTCCAACCTCCGTTAGCTGACTACGATCCTTTTGACCTCCGTTACTCGCCAACTATGGTCCCTCTGATCACCATCACGTGACTATGTTCCCGTCGACCTTTGTCTTCTGACTATGATCCCTCTGACCTCTGTTGACCGATTACGGTGTTACGTCCCAAGATCGGAAGTGAAAGAATTTCTTTTCTTTCTTTATTATCTTTTCTTCTCATTTTATTTTATTTTATTTTTTCTTTCAATTATTAATGAATTACATTGCAGAACATAAATAATGATAAAATAAACATCAGTATGTTTTCTTCAATCAATATCTACATTCTACTACAATTTTTTGAGTTTGAAATAATATGTACAATAGTAACACTGTCTACAAAAGAATACATATAACTGAAAATTTTAAAATAAAACTAAAACACGTTACTGTCTTGTCTCATGTATCTTTACATGAAATCATGTAAAACTACATAATGAGCATGAAAACACAGTCAGTAATTAAAATCTTACTACTGAAATCAATGCAATGCAAAAAGAGAAACAATATGCTAATAATCATATATGAAAATTTATAAATCACTATATGCTATCTATACCAGTCACTTATATCAATTCATCAGTTCTGTTACACATCCCATCACATTTTGTCAATCAATCAATCATTCTATCTTTATCATTCAATTCTTTATGCCAGTACATCAATTATAACAATAGTATCAATATACGTATTTCAGAACAATAATTAGTAACAAAAATCAGGTTCTCAGTATCAATATTCGTACAATATCAATATGTAGTAATCAGTATATGTATTCAGTAATCAATATCAATAATTATTTTCAGTATTCAATAATTAGTATCAGTAATCAGTATCTCTATATCATATATTCAATTGAGGATGTCTTGATCTTACTTTTGCCCTCATGACTTTTAATTAGTCGCCCCTTATGACTCCCAATAATTGTACTTCTTATAACTCTTTTTAAATCGTGTGGATTAGTTGTCCCAACTCATTATAACTCCTAATTAGTCTCTAGCTACTTATGGCTTCCATCAGTGAATCTTGGGATTATCACGTTGGGTTATCATTTCATATATCTGATATGAATTAGTATATCTTTTGAACCAAATTAGTATCACATTTCAATACATATCTGTTATATCAATTATTTCAACACATATTACATTTTAATATTATCATATCAAATCACAATACATCACGTTCAACCCATTTTTAGTATACATTTTCCTTATTTCACAGAAATATTCATATAAACGTTCTTAATATGTGAAAAATATAATAAAATTATATCAAATTGTTCAGAATGATAAAATATCTATCACATATTCAAAGTTACACGGTGAAAGCTTACGAAATCAGGAGGTAATGCATTTTTAGCAGATTTATGAGAGATAAAACTCGTAGAAATCAAAATCATCGAAGGCAGAGGTAAGAGGATAGTTACTAACAACGATCAAAATAATTTTCGTAAAAGGAACAGTGGATGAAAATATCTCGATTGACTTTCTTTCTCTTTTCTTTCTCTCCCTCTCTCTTCCTCTCCCCTTTTCGGTTTCTTCCCGGCCAAGCAAAGAGAATGAGGGAGGGTGAGGGGTGATGGCATATATATTTAGAATAAAATGTATATAAAAACACTGTTAGTGGCCTAGTGCTGCAGTGCTCACTATGTTAGCGCCACTACGCTCCAATTCAAACATAAATTTAAACATTTTATTTTAAAATATATTTTTCATATTTTGGGTTGCTACATACGGTTCCTCCTGCCACCATTGTCGACTACGATCATTCTGACCAAATGAATATGCCAACATTCTCTTGAGAGTACTTTGATATCATTGGATTCTTCTAACTCCAACCATATAATGTATTCTATATGACGTATATTTGTTACATTATCCTAATGCTTTCTTCGGAGGAAGGGCATCATTTGTAATCAATGGCAAACACTTGTGGAATCATTTTAATTGGGTATGACCCTATGGTTTTTCCATTTCTTGAGTTTTCGACATAAAAAATCGGGTGTCACTTATGATTATTGCACCTCTCTTTCATTCATCTGTGTGTGTGCGCGATCTTTGTATGAAATTAGGACATTAAACTCTCTATCTCTCTACCGTCGCGAATATTTCGGCACGCATCAATTCTATTGTTAGCATGTATACCTTATATTGTTTCTAATTTAAACAATAAGTTGTAATCTTAAAGTGTTTTATGTTGTCCTTTTCACTTTAGGGAACAAAACGTAAATGCTAAAAAAATGGAAAAATAAAAGAAAGGTAACTCCTTAGTTTTTGGATGCGCCTTAATTAAAACTCTTATGAATCTCCCATTAGTAGAATAATGAAATACCATCTCTATTACAAGTTTATTTTTGGTAAAGCCAAATTGAATTTTTTGGTTAATTTTTGTTAGATTTCTCCCTAATTATTTCGCGTCCACATTTGATATTCTGGACTGCCCTTGGTTATTTAAGACTCATTCATGTCACGGTTTTTCCAGTACTGGGAGAAGGCAGAGTTTCCATTCCATGTTATTCCTAAGCTTGCTGCACTGAATGTTGCTGGGGGAACAATACAGGTACTGCCATTACATAGCCATCCACATTGACTTATAAGTTTTTTTTTATAGGACTGGTATATTTTTTCAGGGTTATGGTTGTCCAGGACTTTCGATCACTGCTAGTGCCGTTGCTATAGCAGAGATTGCTAGAGTTGATGCTAGCTGCTCTACCTTTGTGTTGGTTCATTCTTCATTGGCGATGCTTACAATTGGTAAAATGCTTATGTCCCATGTCCTGTACAAATTTTTATGTAATTTCTAGGCGAAAAAGCTTTAAAAAGTTCTAACTGGCTTTAATATTTTGCTTCTTTTTTCTAACCTTTCTTATCAAATATAGGACTTTGCGGATCAGAAGCCCAAAAGCAGAAATACTTACCATCGTTAGCACGATTTAGTGCTGTTGCATGTTGGGTAATTCAAGTTTATATCCAATATAAAATGCTAGCTGAAGTCCTTCTAACATTTTCTTGAACTTTATTGCTAAATTGACATATTCCAGGCTTTAACTGAGCCGGACTATGGAAGCGATGCAAGCTCTTTGAGTACCACTGCAACAAAGGTTTACAGCTTACTAACCTATATTACTGAATAAAAAATTGTAC